AAAAAAAAAAAAAAAAAAAAAAAAAAAAAGCTGGAGGAGAAGTTCAGTGAACAGAAATAAAACGGAACACAGCACCCAATGAGAGCTGTTCTACCTGCCACCTTTCTTCTTGAGCTCTGAGAGAGAGGCAGAACATGCAGAAGCACAGGCAGAGGAAAAAGGGAAGAGGGTGGAGCATCACAGCTGGAGGAAGATGGAATTCTGAGTTAGGGCACGACAGGGAATGAATATGCAACTAAGAATATGGTGGAAGAGAGAAAGAAGAGACAGTGAGGTTGAGGAGATGAGCAGGGTCCCATTACAAATGCCATCAAAGCTAAGCTGAGGAGTATTAAATAGGGAAGCAGGGACTTTGCTGAAAGTTGTGAAAAGTGATGAGAGTCGTGTGATGAATTTGGTTCTTCCAATCCTGACCAACCCTCCATACCAGCCCGGGTCGAGAAAGGTGTACTCCCTGGCACCACTCCCCTCGGAGCCTCCTTCATCCTGGTCTCCTGCCTTCAGTGCAGCAGCTCTGTACTCTCCCCTCCAGGTCTGACTCCCTCTTCAAGGCCCTCGTCTCGAGCGCCATCCCCCTGGGACGCATTGTCTCCCTAACCTCAAACAGCTCAGCATCCAGCTCTTCCACTGTCTCAGGTGTACTTGCCACGTCAGCACAACGAGACTGAGCAGCATCCGGTGTGACAATGAAGGTCAACTGGAAGGTCAGTGCTGTCCCATTCCTTGTAACTCTAGACAGTTCTCTCAGGTATCCCTAACGCTTCCAGACTTTACAGAGTGAGAACGATATAAGACCTTCCCGCCATTCCACCACCCTGGGGCAGTAAGGGTTATGTACGTGTATTATAATGACTGAAGTAAAATAGAAGACTTCTCATTTAACTAGGGTATAAGTATTTGGAGCACTCAGGTAGAGAGTTAAAGTAAGCTCTTAGCGCTAGAACAGCGCTAACTGCCAGCTAGTCTAATCCTCCTCAGGAGGGGTCCGTCCAGAGAGGCAGGGCCCTTTTCTAAGGTAGAAGTGGATGAAGAGCTAGGCCTGGAGTCTTGGTCTCCTGGCTCCAGATGACCAGCACCCAGTGGAATAAAAACGAGAAGTAGGGCTTCCCTGGTGGTGCAGTGGTTGGGGGTCCGCCTGCCGACGCAGGGGACGCGGGTTCGTGCCCCGGTCCGGGAGGATCCCACGTGCCATGGAGCGGCTGGGCCCGTGAGCCATGGCCGCTGAGCCTGCGCATCTGGAGCCTGTGCTCCGCGTCGGGAGAGGCCACAACAGTGAGAGGCCCGCGTACCACAAAAAAAAAAAAACCAAAAAGACCAGAAGTAATGATGCATTGTGAAAAACAGCATGATATTTACAGCTATGGGAAGATGATTTTAAAGCAGACAGTAGCTCATCCTAGGGGCAAAATATCCTTTAATTAAAAATACAGGGACTTCCTTGGTGGTCCAGGGGTAAAGAATCCACCTTCTAATGCAAGGACGCAGGTTCGATCCCTGGTCAAGGAACTAAGATCCCACACGCCATGGGGCAACGCGCCACAACTACTGAGCTTGCGCACCTCAACGAGAGAGCCCGCGTGCCACAAACTACAGAGCCCATGCACCCTGGAGCCTGTGCACCACAACTAGACACAGAAAAACCTGCATACCACTAGAGAGAAGCCCGTGCACTACAACGAGGAACCCATGCGCTGCAACAAAGACCTGAAGTAGCCAAATAAATAAATAGGTATTAAAAAAAAAATACAGCTAGGGACTACCCTGGCAGTCCAGTGCTTAAGACTCTGTGCTTCCAATGCAGAAGACGTGGGTTCAATCCCTGGTCGGGGAACTCAGATCCCATAAGCCATGTGGCTCAGCAAAAAATAAATAAATAAAGAGGGATAACTTGTAATAAAGGAATCTTCTTTTTACAAAAGGATGTCCTTTCATTGTTTTTTTTTTAAATACCAGAAGTAATCCATAATCACCGTTAAATAACAAAGGTTTCTTTCTTAACTGTACAGTGTATATGCTTTCCAAAAAAAAGATTCCCTTATTTTAAATTTTAATTAAAAAATAAGTAGTTTATGGGAAATTGGTATTGACATATACACACTGCTATATATAAAATAGATAACTAATAAGGATTTACTGTATAGCACAGGGAACTCTACTCAGTACTCTGTAATGGCCTATTTGAAAAAAGAATCTAAAAAAGAGTGGATATATGTATATGTATAATAGATTCATTTTGCTGTATACCTGAAACTAACACAACATTGTAAATGTACTATACTCCAATAAAATTTTTTTTTAAAAAGTAGTATATTCCTATCATTCAAAATTCAAAAGGAAACAGGCTTCTCTGGTGGTGCAGTGGTTGAGAATCCGCCTGCCAATGCAGGGGACATGGGTTCGAGCCCTGGTCCAGGAAGATCCCACATGCCGCAGAGCAACTAGGCCCGTGCACCACGACTACTAAGCCTGCACTCTACAGCCCACGAGCCACAACTACTGAGCCTGCACACCACAACTACTGAAGTCCGCGTGCCTAGAGCCCATGCTGTGCAACAAGAGAAGCCACCTCAATGAGAAGCCCGCACGCCACAACGAAGACCCACACAGCCAAAAATAAATAAAATAAATTTTTTTAAAAAATTCAAAAGGAACCAAAAGATATAAATGACCAATTTTCCCTCCCTCCTTCCCCTACCCAGCAGCCTTCCCCCCAGGCTAGCCATGTTACCAGTTTCTTACTTATCGTTCCAAAGATATTTCATACACACAAGCCAACACAGAATACGTCATTACTCTTTCATCTCTGTTACACAGGAGGCAGCATGTGTGTACACTGTGCTTATTCAAGTGACAAGTGCAGGAAGTGGTTTGGGACAGGGCACAGAGCAGATGTACTCCGGTTTCTTCAGCCGACGCCCCTGGAGGCATTGAAGGCTGCTCCTACCAGCAGTGCCCATGAGTTACACTATGTATATGTCATTTTGTATGTGTGCAGACACAGCTTTAGGATAAATTCTCAAAAGTGAGATTGCTGGGTGAAAGGTTTCATGCTTTTGTAAGCTTAACAGATACCACCAAACTGCCCTCTACAGAAGCTGCCAACAATGTGGAAGACTGCCTGTTTCTCAGCGTTCTTGCCAACACTGTGTTATTAAATGTTCTAATCTTGGCCACGTGACAGGTGAAATAGAGTATCTCAGTGTTTTTCCTACATTTCTTTTATTAGGAGTAAGGCTGAACTTCTTTGCATATATTTCTGGGTCATGAATATTTCCTTTTCTGTGAACATCGGGTTTGTATATTTTTTTTTTACTGTTTTTTTTCTTATCATTTTACGTAAAGGAAATTAGCCCTTTGCAATATGAGCTATACATGCTGTTTCCCAGTTTATAATTTGTCTTTTGACCTTGCTTTAATGTGGTTACTGCCATGCAAAGAGGTTTTTTATTTTAATAATTCGGTTTGTCTTTTCTATTATGGTTTAGAGTTAGTTACACTTAGGCCTTGTTCCTTTTTTTTTTTTTTTTTTTTTGGCCACACCGTGCAGCTTGCAGGATCTCAGTTCCCCAACCAGGGACTGAACCCAGGCTGTGGCAGTGAAAGCCCGGAATCCTAACCACTAGGCCACCAGAGAACTCCCCACTTAGGTCTTGTTCTGATTTTTCTGTTTTTCTTTCTCTCTCCATATACATGTATGTGTATATATACACATATATAGATACTATATAAATATATATATATATTTCCCAGAATTTTTATGATCCTTTCATGGTTTCATTTATTCTTAAAATCTAGAGATTTCATCCATGTGATATTTATCAAAAGCAATCCCTTTCAACAGCAGGTCCCCTTACATGTTTCAGTGCATTACGTGACTAACTTAGGATCCTGAGGAGGAGGCTGAAAGTGTGAAATAATCATAAACTGCAATAACAGAGGTCAAAAAACCTGTGAGATACCAACTCTCCCTCTCACCACTTGTAAGTGAAGGGGGGAAAATCATGTGAATAATTTAATATTTACTCCTGTTAATTCTTAAATTAATTTTAATTAATTTAATGTTTAAATTAACTTTTATGGCAAAAATTAGCAAATGGGGGAAAAAAGCACTTATCTACCTTGTTCACTGCTCTCGGTTGGGGAATCTTCATGTCGAAGAAAAAATTTCACTTCTTCCCTTCGTGGCCCCCACTTCTGAAGATGTTCATACATCATATAATCAAAGGGTATGGGACGCTCTAGGAAAAAAACAAACAAAAAATCTTACTTTTCTCAGAAACAAACAAAATGACTCGTACCAAAAGTAAAAAATGAATAAAAATAATTTAAAATAAATGTACACATATATTAGAATTCAAGGATATTACAAGCACTGAATTTTAACTTTAATAAAGTGAAAACAAGACCATGAAGGGGAAATAATTTAGGTAACATATAAACACAAAGAAGTAAACATAAAAGCAATTTTGCACATTAAATGGGGAACAGTGAAAAAAATGTCCTTTAGTATATTTATCATGAAGCAGTATGCCTCCCACTCTTTCAAAGAAACACATTAACAAATTGGCTGAATCTTGTTATTCATTAAAATGTTACAGGTGGCAATCAGATGTATAAAGGCTTGACAACGCACTTGCTGGCAATACAGCTAGCCCACACAAACACTTGTACGTGAATGTTCACAGCAGCAATATTCATAGTAGCCAAAAAGTGGAAACAACCCAAGTGTCCATTAACTGATGAAAGGATAAATAAACTGTTGTATATCATACAATGGATATTTGCAGCCAAAAAAAGAAATTAAGTATTGATACATGCTACAACATGGATGAATCCTGAAAACATGCTAAGAGAAAAAAGCTAGATCAAAAAGTCACACATTAAAAAATAAATAATTTTTTTAAAAAGTCACATATTATATGATACAATTTATATGAGATGCCTAAAATAGTCAAACACATAGAGCCAGAAAGTAATACAGTGGTTGCCTGAGGGAGGAAGGAATGGGGAGGTACAGAGTTTGGAGATAGTTGCACAACACTGAGAATGTCCTAAAAACCACGAAGTTGTACACTAAAATGGGGATTTTTATGCTATGTGAATTTTATCTGAATTAAAAGGAAATCTTGAAATGTTCCCACTGCTGCTTGTGCTTGAAAGCGAGAAAGGATATCGGCAAGTTCCAAGGCTCACAGCAAACGGCCTGGCGTGGGAGAGGAGCAGGACAAAACCGAACCATATTTTGGCTCCTTTCAACACAGGAGTATGTCTGGGCGAGAGGCTCCTCCTGCTCAGCCTGAGAACCCGACACTGAGTCAAGAGAAAGAGCTGTGCAAGCTGCAGCCTTGTCATACATTCAAGGTGTGATTTACTGTTCAGTCCTAGATAAGTGCCAGACTTCCGTAAGGAAGAAAACCCCACCATTCATAGAAATGCAGCGCACATTGTGCTGCTGCCGTTTCATCTTCCTACATGTGCAGGCAAGCTTTGCCTATTCAGCCAACATCAAGGGCAAGGACATAAATAATCTCATCTCAGTTGAAAATGAAGTCTGTGTGTGCTTAGTTCAACTCTGAACTGAGTATTTGTACAACGAAAAGCAAGCACAAACTGAACACTAATGAAGTAATATCATTCCATATTTTTAGTTTTGAAAGTAACACTTTTTATGGATATAGGCCTATAAAAAAGATTTTTAAGAACTTGTATATTGTAGTTTTATAGCTGTGAGGCCCATGTTTAAGCCTAATCGTGTCCCTTGGTTTTACATAAAATTGTGTCTTAGGCCATATTTTTATTCATATTGCTTTGGCTTACAAATTTTTTTCACATTAATTAAAATCAGTTTACAATCCCCACTTAAATCTACCAAGTCTGAGCATAACTTTATAAAGTTAAAACTCCAATTTTGCCTTAAAGCCAGTTATTGAAAAAAATGTTTCCCTTTATAAATAAAAAAATTTTAAAGACTAACTTCAAGAAAAGCAAGCTAAGCTTCACTACCTTTTTTAAATAAGAAGGGTTAACTAAAACGTATTTCTGTTTTAAAGCGAAAATAAAACTACCCCACATGTATCATGTAGAATTAATAGCATACTATACCTCATTAGCATCTTATGTAATGGAGAAATCTATGATAAGACTTTCAGCCATTCTTGGATAAGGCAAAAAGAAAATCAAGTAGGAAATTTCACAAAAAGAAAAACTGAAGGTCCTACCTACACTCCTGATTTGCATTAGAGCTGACATACTCGAGGAAGGGAACCACAAAAAGATCAGGATAATAAGCTGGCCAAGTTAACAGACTGTTACGGGCTGGGTTGTGTCCCTTCACACACAAATTCATATGCTGAAGTCCTAACCCCTAGTACCTCAGAATGTGACCTTATTTGAAGACAGGATCTTTAAAGAGGTAATAAGTTAAAATGAGGTCCTTAGGGTGCACCCTAATCCAAATGACTGGTGTCCCTTTAAGAAGAGATTAGGACACAGATACAGACGGAAGGCCATGTAAGGACACAGGGAGAAGACTGCTTTCTACAAGCCAAGGAGAGAGGCCTCAGGAGAAACCAACCTTGCTGACACCTTGATCTCAGACCTCTAGCCTCCAGAATTGTGAAAAGATAAATTTCTCTTATTTAAGCCACCCAGTTTGTGTTACTTTGTTATGGCGGCCTGAGCAAAGTAATACACAGATCCAGAGAGAAATACTCTCTTCTCAAAAGCACTGACAATTACATTGGAGTATCATATTTCTGAATACTGATGACATGAGTATACCATGTGTTATGGATGCAATCATTTTTATGCAAAGCATTCTCCAAAATCTGAATATTACCTTAAGGGTTCCTCTGGGGTAAAAAAGACTGAGAAAGGCTGTGCTTTTTCCCCTTCCTTTGAATCTCATCCACCACCATCTCTTCAAGACCTCGCTTTGCTGCTCCAATTTACTCAATGATTTAAGTGTTTACTCAGGGCCTATTATGAGAAACAGGCTGGGCACTGGCGGTATGATGGTGAACAAACAAGTTCCTGCCTTCAGGAATTTTAGTCCAATAAGACAGAGAGAGATGAAAGCTACCATATTATGTTTTGATAAATACAATGACAGTACTGGAGCAAAGGGGAGGGACCCTTAACACACTCTGAGATTCAAGGAAGGGATGAGAGGCAAAGGTGCGTGGGTGCTAGGGACTGCTCTAGACAGTGGGAGCAGTGGCTGTGACCCTCTGTGCTCCGAGGAGGTAGGCCTCATTCCTGATGAGGCTAGACCACAGGTTATGATTTCAGATGGCCCTGGAGCCAAGCACTGCAACAAATGAGTGACTCAAGCGGCCAGGGACCACTGGGGCTCTCCCAGACTAATATAAGGGGCAGATAAGGAATAAGAAGTGACAGCAAGCCACAAAAAGCAAGAGTGCTAAGAGGCTAGAGAAGAGCAAACAATGATGGAATGACCAGGCTCTAACATTAGTCCTCTAAAAACTGCAATTACTTAACACCCCTCTTCCTGTAGCTGATATCAGACTGATAACTGAGGACCTGGCCTCTTACTTCTACTTTAGTAAATAGTCCACCATTTATCAAAGTCAAGTTTCTCTCAATGTGTCCTTAAAGTTTTTACTCTGAATCTGAAGGATAACATTAAAAGCACAAGACTTTGGAAGAAAATATTTACAAGTCATACACCTAATAAGGGACTTGTATCTACAATATATAAAGAACTCTTACTGGGGATGTAATGTACACCATGGTGACCAGAGTTAACAACACATACTGCAGGGACTTCCCTGGTGGCGCAGTGGTTAAGAATCTGCCTGCCAATTCAGGGGACATGGGCTCGATTCCTGGTCCAGGAAGATCCTACATGCTGCGGAGCAACAACTACTGAGCCTGTGCTCTAGAACCTGTGAGCCACAACTAATGAGCCCATGTGCCACAACTACTGAAGCCCACGCACCTACAGCCCATGTTCTGCAATGAGAAGCCACCGCAATGAGAAGCCCATGCACCACAATGAAAAGTAGCCCCCACTCGCTGCAACTAGAGAAAGCCTGTGCACAGCAACGAAGACCCAATGCCACCAAAAATAAATTAAAAAAAAAACATACTGCATATTTGAAGTTGCTAAAAGAGTAGACCTTAAAAGTTCTCATCACAAGAAAAAATATTCTGTAACTGTGTGCAGTAATGGATGCTAACTAGACTTACTGTGGTGATCATTTCACAATATATACAAATATCAAATAATTATATAGTACATTTCAAACAAATAAAATGTTGTATGTCAATTATACCTCAATTAAAAAATTATTTTTAAAAAGTGTAAGAATTCACTGATTATCCCTAAGTGTCCTTTAAACACATCCATCTGGACACCCACCTCATACACAGCATGTTCCAAATGACCACTCTCTTGCTTCCTGACTCAGACCCATCCATGCACACAGCTACCTCCTTCCACACGCTGTCAGAGCAGGTGGCCTTGCCAGTCTAGTTCCCACCCTCCTGGGCCCCTCCTCTCAGTGCTGTCTGAGGAGCACGCCTTCTCCATGCTCTTCTCTTGTCCTTCCCTCACACTGCTCCCCTCGCCTGGTGTATCCTATCCCAGTTCAATTCCACATCTCCGTGAGAATCCACATTATTTTTCAGAATTTTCTGTATTCGGTAATTATATTACCTACACTGATCATCTCTGCCCAGCTAGCTGACAAATCCTTAAATGTAAGAGCCAGTATTAACTCTTCTCAACTTAATAAACAAATATTTATGAAGCACTTACTATTTAAAAGGCTTTGTACACAGGGAAACACGATAGTGTTTTTGTCTTCGTGAAGTTATCGTAGGGAGAAGAAAAGCAGATGAACAACCTGACATGCAACAAACAAAACACTGTAAGGTCTCAGTGGACAGAGAACTCTCGTTTGGTCAGTAGTGATGTCAGAAAGCCTTCACACAAGAACCAGATCTGCTTTCCCAGCTTCTTCCACATGGCTACGGTGAGGGTCAAATCACAGAACACACTTCTTTGCAAACAGCATTTATAACATCCTATCCTCATGCGATAAAATAGTTTTTACTTTACTCAATTCCTTATTACCTCAGATAACAAAGAACCAGAAACAACATTCTGTATTCAATAAACACTGGATTTCATGTACTTAGTCATCTTTATAGAGCCTAATACATACCATTTCCTCTCCACACTTCAGCTAAATGGCAACTGCCTTCTCCAGGTTCCTTGCAAAATTCTACAACATCCCGACATGTTGTTTCTGGTGTTATGGGAACTTCTGTTAAAATCTGTTCATTGTTGCTCAAGAACACGGTTAATATCATCTGTAAGAGAAAGATTAAATTAAAGCTACTACTTAGAGTCATCCATCAATAAAGAGATTAATCTGTAAATTAAAAGTGATCCCCCCACCACCCCACTCCCCCACTGCCACTCTGCCCTGCCAGAATGCTTATGGGACAGGTTAAGCTGATCCTAAAGTTCATGTAGAAAAATTAAAATATAAGACAAGTCAGGAAAATGCCAAAAGAGGAGTATTAGAAGGAAACCAGCACTACTAGATATTATAAAGCCTCAAAACAGTATGGCAATAGCACATAAATAGATCAACGGGACAAATTACAAAGTCCAGAAACAGAAAATGGTAAATGATGAAGCAGGTATCTCAAAACTGAGGAAGGAAAAGACTATATTATGAATGATGCCTGGGCAATTAAAATACCCATCTGGAAAAAGTGATTCACATTGCACATCATACACAAGCATAAGTTCCTAATAGATCAAAATATTTAAATATAAATCACAAAATGGTAAAGATTCCAGACTAAAACTGGGTAAATTCCTTTTTATAACCTTGGAGTACAGAGCCCTTTCCACCTATGACTCAAAAACCAGACACCACAGAAAAAGATATATTCAGGTAATAAAACACAGGGATCTTTTACAAAGCAAAAAAGACTAACTGGGGAAAAATACTTGTAACTAATATCACATATAAAAAGCCAATCTCCTCAATATATAAAAGGCTCCTAAAAACTGGTACCAGAAAGACCAAAAATCCAATTTATTTTTAAAAATTGACTGAAGAAATAATATATCACAGTAAAAGAAATGAAAATGGTCCTTAAATGAAGGTATATTATAATGTATTTGAAAAATTAAAAAATAAAAATTGTCCAGCATTATTTTAAAAAAACTTTAAAAAACCCTACCACTTTGATCTAAGAACTCAAGAGATTGTATCATAAGGGATTTTTAAAAAACATTACTCCTAAAGTAAAATTTAAACCAAAGATTTTTTTTTTTTTTTTTCTGCGGTACACGGGCCTCTCACTGTTGTGGCCTCTCCCGTTGTGGAGCACAGGCTCCGGACGCACAGGTTCAGCAGCCATGGCTCACGGGCCTAACCGCTCCGTGGCATGTGGGATCTTCCCGGACCGGGGCACGAACCCGTGTCCCCTGAATCGGCAGGCGGACTCTCAGCCACTGCGCCACCAGGGAAGCCCTGTTTAATCTTTGATCAAAGTCAGAAACAAAATCTGCATTTGTCCCAAAATTCTCCTCTCAAAATCTCGGCTGTCAACTAAGTATTTTAGTTCATTGTTAAAATATTTTTTTCTTAGAAGTGCCCTAAATTCCTAAATTTTGAGATTAAACATCTCTATACTGACGGCCAGATTTTATTACCAAAACTAGTAATAGTTATGAACTGTTCTCTTGCCACCAATCTCCCCTTACTCCAACCTACCCCTTCACTGTTGCCAGTTAATTTCCTAAATGTAAATCAGTTGAAGTCATTCCCTTGCTTAAAATATTCAGGAGCCCTGCGCTGCCTAATAGCAATCCTTCCCAAAACATTTATTCGAGTTTATAAACAGGAAACTGGTTTCTTTACTGAGCACTCAAGAGTCTAACATTGTAATGTTCATGTGAATCTCTAACTTTTCTCCCCCAGAGACTCTCATGGGGCTTGGATTTCCACAGAATGCCCTCCGAGAAAGCCTAGACTACAGGATAAACTGCAAACTCCTATCACGGGTAAAAGATTCCTCACAACATTCCTAGCCTTCCAGTCCTAGTGCCTTTCCACAATGAACCTTGCTCCCTCAAGTCCAAGTTCTCTCAGGCCGCTGTCCCTCTGTCCCAGTGCCCTTCCTGTTTGCCTGTAAACTCCTATTCACCCTTCGAAACTCAGCTCATATGCTACCACCTTTGCAAAACCTCCCTTCACCACCTCTCACCAAGGAGGCTACATGTTCCTTCCTTTGTGATCTAGTAGCTCTTCACACACATCTTTATTACATCACCCTAGGCTCTACGTGCCTCCAAGCAATTCACTTTTGAATCTTTTGTTCCCATTGCCTGATCAGTATCTGATGTATGGGAGGCACTGTGAAATCCGGTCGACTCCACGAATGACAGGCAAAATATAAAACCTCCACCATACCACAGAACTGAGGAAACACTACTCATGATCTAAGTAAGATACACCCAGTCTGTTCAACAAGCACTTTTCCTTCAGTTCTTCTAGGATGTTATAAACACATTTCTCTTTTATAAGAAATAAAAGTTATTTCTGCTCACTAACCCATAGAGGAATTTATCTTTAAAAGTTGGGGTGTTTTAAATACTAACATAAATGGCCTGGAATCTACAGAATTTGGAATAAAATTGGTAATTCCTGGATCCAGTGCAAACAAGTCCAGAACTGAAGGGCCTTAATGCTATACCAGTTTCATCAGAACAAGTGGAATTTTTTAAAAAATAAATTTATTTACTTATTTATTTTTGGCTGCATTGGGTGTTTGTTGCTGTGCACAGGCTTTCTCTAGTTGCAGCGAGCAGGGGCTGCTGTTGCGGTGTGCGGGCTTCTCATTGCGGTGGCTTCTCTTGTTGCGGAGCACGGGCTCTAGACACGCAGGCTTCAGTTGTTGTGGCTCGTGGGCTCTAGAGCGCAAGCTCAGTAGTTGTGGCCCACGGGCTTACCTGCTCTGTGGCATGTGGGATCTTCCCGGACCAGGGCTTGAACCCATGTCCCCTGCACTGGCAGGCGGATTCTCAACCACTGCGCCACCAGGTAAGCCCTTGGAATATATTTTTATTCTTGTTTACTCATATTTATTTTATTCTTCTAATGGTAAATATTTTCCCATGTGATTTCACAGCCTATGCTTTAAATTTAGTTATTTGTTTGTTTGGCTGCACCGGGTCTTAGTTACAGCACGCGGGATCTACATTGTGGCATGTGGAATCTAGTTCCCTGACCAGGGATCAAATCCGGGCCCCCTGCATTGGGAGTGCAGAGTCTTAGCCACTAGACCACCCGGGAAGTCCCCTCATAGCCTATGCTTTTTAAGATCTAATAATATATTTTCCCAAACCACAGTTTATAAATCAAAATTTCAAATCAGTGAGAATATTTTTAAAAATTATCTTCTCTTTAAGTGCTGTAACTACATTTCACTAATAACCAGGAGTGGGTCCTGTTTTCCGCGGTTCTTCAGCCTTTTCATTCCTCATCCTGTACCGCTTGTGTCTACTACAGGATCCATGATTTGTTCTCCATACTGTGAGCTAGTGAAGGTTTACGCAACCATCTGCTTCTGGAAGCCGGGCCTCTGGCCAGAACCAGTCTCGCATGCTCATCACCCACCATGGGCACATAGTGGCACCCGTAAAGGCATGGCTTGTGCTTCTCTGTTCGGAAAGCAGAATTCTTTAGGAACCTGCTGTCAGAATGAACCATGGCGTGACACTCTTCAGGGACACTTTTGAATTACCAAGACTTTTCAGCTCGTGAATAAGTTCAACATGATGAGGGAAGGGGAGGAGGGGCAGAATGGCAGAGTTGTGAGTTTGAACATTTATTTTTGAAAGCTAAGAACTCGCAGATAACTTATCCGAAAGTCACTACACATTACTTCAGTTTTTAATTCTATTTTATAGTCTTTAGTAAACCCTATCTTTCCTAATCTTAGCAAAATCCATTTCCCCTAATCTCTACTACCCAATCAAAGCTAATGTCATTATAATCATCACAGATTTAAAAGCTCTCGAGATAAATTAAGCTGGCATTGACCTGGATGGTACATACTTCCCTAGAGCAACCCCTAAAATTGGAGCTGAAAAGGCATGGGACTGCTACCATTATTCTAGCAAGTATTTCTTAGATTAAAAGAAACTGAAGAATCTCCAACATAAATATCATAAGTATTAATCCTAGATGCACTTTTTTTAAATATCTTTGAAATCACAATCTATCTTACAACTGATAGCATGTCACAATCTAATGGGTAGTGTTATTTTTTTTCTTTCTTAATAGTATGTATGGAGATGAAACCCAATAGGGTTAAGGATTAAGAAGACAAAGAAAACAAAGTAAAAAAGTTAATGTTTATTCTTCCTAAAAGGTTAATATGTTGAAAATAAAAGATTTGGTTAACTACAGTTAGAAAAACACACAAAGATTTATACTATGTGCTGTAACCAGAATAGCACGTGATGATAAAATGCCTTATATGCCTTTCTTCAAACTGTTCCCTCTGCCCAGACAAGTCACGCTGTCAGACCCTGCCCGCCTGTCTGTCCTTCTCCATCATCCGCAAACGCCCACCTCCTCTTGGAAGTATTTCCTGACGCAACTGTCTACCCATCCTGACCCAATGTGAGTCAGGGCCTCCTCTTTTGCTCTCCTATATAACGGACTGTGGCTATTTCTGGCATAACATTCTTACACTAAATTATCAATGTTTTTCATGATTACATCCTCTACTGGAACAGTGTTTGTGACTCACAGGAGTGAGTTGTGACCCATCACCTGCTCTTGAAATCATCTAAGTGGGTCTCAAGCTGCACATATTTTTATTTAAAGTTGTTTTAAAAAAACCTAGAATGGCCATAAGGCCACTGAGGGCAGGACCTGTGTTCTCTAACTCAGTGCCTGAGTAAAATACGTGTACTCAGTAAATAAAAGATGGAAGCAGCCTAGCAGGCAGCTAACTGCATTAACCATATCAGATTAAGAGGTCAACTTCTCCTCACTCTCAAGAACATTTGAGCTACATAAAGAAAATCACTGGGAATCTACCACTAATGTAAGTCATCTACATAGTAGAGCCTTTAAAACATTTGCTCACCTAACCAACCTATATAAAACAGCACTCCTCTATCTCACTCTGCTTTTTTTCTTCTTCGTTTTCATCACCACCTGATCTATGTTGTATATTTATTTACTTGTTTATCCTCTGTCTCCTCCCACTAGAACACAAGCTCCCTGAGAGCAGGGATTTTAGTTAGTTCACTGCTCTATCACTAGTGCCTGGAG